GTTTGTCTATCTTGTTGATTTTCTCAAAGAACCAACTCTTTGTTGTATTGATTCTTTGTATTGTTTTCCTAGTTTTGTCTTCATTGATTTCAGCCTTCAATTTGATTATTTCCTAGCATCTACATCTCCTGGGTGAGTTTGCTTATTTGTGTTCTAGAGCATTCAGTTGTGCTGTTAATTCTCTAGTGTAACTATTCTCCAGTTTCTTCATGTGGGCACTTAGTGCTATGAACTTTCCTCTTAACACTGCTTTCAAAGTGTCCCATAAGTTTGGGTATGTTGTGCCTTCATTCTCATTGAATTCTAGGAAGTCTTTAATTTCTTTGTTTATTTCTTCTTTGACCCAGGAGTGGTGCAATAGCACATTATTCAATTTCCATGAGTTTGTAGGGTTTCTGCAATTTGTGTTGTTGTTGAACTCTAACTTTAAAGCATGGTGGTCTGATAAGTTGCATGGAGTTATTCCAACTTTTTTGTACCTGTTGAGGTTTGCTATGTTGCCAAGTATGTGGTCAATTTTTGAGAAGGTTCCATGTGGCGCTGAGAAGAAGGTATATTCTTTTGTGTTTGGATGGAATGTTCTATAGATGTCTGCCAAACCCAATTGGGTCATAATTTCTATTAGTTCTTTTGTTTCTTTGTTAATTTTCTGTCTGGTAGTCCTGTCTAATGGTGACAGTGGGGGTGTGGATGTCTCCCACTATAAGTTTGTGAGGTTTTATGTGTGGTTTGAGTTTTAGTAATGTTTCTTTTACAAATGTGGTTGCCTTGGGGCATAGATGTTCAGAATCGAGACTTCATCTTGGTGGATTTTTCCTGTGATGAATATGAAATGACCTCCTTCATCTCTTTTGATTAATTTCAGTTTAAAATCTAGTTTGGTTAGATATTAGGATTGCTACCCCTGCTTGTTTCTTGGGACCATTTGATTGGAAAATCTTTTCCTAACCGTTAACTCTGAGGTAACATCAGTCTTTGAAGCTGAGGTGTGTTTCTTGTATGCAGCAGAAGGATGGGTTCTGTCTTCTAATCCATTCTGTTAGCCTGTGCCTTTTTATGGGAGAGTTAAGACCATTAATATTGGGGGCTATTAATGCCCTTTCATTGCTGTTCTCATATGTTTTGGAATGGTTGTTCTTGGTGGAATTGTATGTGGATTTCTGCCCCTTTTCTCTTTTGGATGTTGGTAAAGTGGGATTATCTAATGCCTATGATTTTCTGGTTGTAGTTAATTTCCTTGTACTGGAGTTTTCCTTCTAGAACATTCTTTAGGGCTGGGTTAGTGGATTTGCATTGTTTAAATCTGGTTTTGTCATGGAATATCTTGTTTTCTCCATCTATATTGATTGAAAGCTTTGCTGGGTATAGTATTTTTGCACCTGTGGTTTCTTAGTGTTGATAGAATATCTATCTAGGACCTTCTGGATTTCAGAGTTTTCATGGAGAAGTCAGGTGTAATTCTTATTGGTTTTCATTTATACGTTATTTGACCTTTCTCCTTAGCTACTCTAAGTATTTTTTCTTTATTCTGTATGCTTGGGGTCTTGATTATTATGTGATGAGGAGACTTTTTTGTGGTCCACTCTATTTGGTGTTCTGTAAGCTTCTTGTACCTTCATTGGCATGTCTTTCTTTAGGTTGGGAAAGTTTTCTTGCACAAGTTTGTTGAATATGTTTTCTGTCCCTTTGAATTGGGTTTCTTCACCTTCTTGTATACCTATTATTCTTAGGTTTGGTCTTTTCACAGGGCCCCATATTTCCTGGAAATATTGTGTTAGGGATTTGTTGGACTTAAGATTTTCTTTGATTGATGAATCTATTTATGCTAGTGTGTCTTCAACACCTGAGATTCTCTCTTCCATCTCTTGTATTCAGTTGGTTATGCTTGCATCTGTAGTACCTGACCGTTTTCCCAGTCTTTTTTATTTCCAGCATTCCTTCAGACTGTGTTTTTTTATTGTCTCCATGTCAGCTTTCAACCCTTGTACTATTTGAATTGTTTCTTGTAATTTTTGCTTTGTGTTTTCCTCCTTTTCTTGCATTTGTTGGATTTTTTGGTTTGCCTTTTCTTCTGTTTCTTGCATTTTTTTGGTTTGTTTTTTCTTCCATTTTTAAAGGGATTTTCTCACATCCTCTTTGAGGGCCTCTATCATTTTTCATGATGGTATTTTTTAGGTCATTCCCTTCTGCGTCATCCGCATTGGGGTGTTCAGGTCTTCCTTGTGTAGAATCTCTAGACTCTCGTGGTGTCATATTTGTTTTTCTGTTGCTGAATGTTCTTATATTGCCTCTTCCCTATCACTTCTTCCAGTGGGTGTAGAAAGAGTCTCTTTCTCTCCTGTTGGATAGGCAACCAGGGTTCCCTTTTGGTGGGTGCAAGCAAATCCAATACTCTCTGCCCTTTGCTCTCTGTCCTCTGCCCTCTGCCCTGAGTTTGGGTGAAGTGGACCAGCTCTCTCTGCAGGCTCCTGGTTGATTGGTCATCCATCCAGGGGCCAGTTGACCTGGCTAATGTCCCCAGGCCAGGGGATCTGAGAGAGGGTGAGTGAGAGGAATTCAGGTCTAAGATGGGGACTCAGTGCTCACCTCTGGCCTCTGCCCTTGTAAAATGCATCTTATGAGAAGATGGTTAAGAAAATTAACTACACATTCCCTCTGTGGATAAAGAAATATTCATGGATATTTACAAATATTCATAGATATTCATGGCAGAGCAGGCAGATACCACAGAGGTTCACTCTCATACACAGTGGTGACTGAATTTGATAGGAAGAAAACACATCAAAATTGAAGTGGATGTCATTTTAAAGACACAATGTTTGGGATCAGAATTTTTAATAGTAATTTAATTTTGTTTCAAAACACATCTTTTGGAAGATTTATAAATTGCAGATTTTTCAAGAAAATTTCTAAAATGTGGTATTTTTCAGGGTGAAAATTCAGGAGATTGGCATTATATTACATTAATGCATTTGTCACACTTTTGCTTTAAGAAAAAGGCCCATGCAAAAGTATAAGCTGCCATAAAAATGACCTGTGTGTGTGTGAAATCTAAAAATAATTTCCATTATATGATTGTCATGCTTGAACTTTGTAGATAGCAGTTGTGTGTTTCAGTGTCAAGAGGTTAGACATGGGATGATGTCTCATTTAGTAAATTGCACACACGTGAATGTTGACCCATGGCTTTTTGAGTTTTAAGGCCAGATTCTGATCCAAGAACCCATGTGAGAAACAGGTAAGCATGGTAGCTACTGTTAGCCTCAGCACTCAAGAGACAGAGACAGGAGATTTCTAGGGCAAACAGGCTAGGTAGTCTAGCCAGAACTGATTAACTTCAAGTTCATTGAGAGATCCTGATTCAATAAATAAAGCAACTGGGGAAGACACATGATGTCATCTTCAGGGCCCCTCATGTGCACCCACATACATCCACCCACACAGATATGAACACACACACACACACACACACACACACACACACACACACACACACACACACACTAAAGCATAAATAAACACACAAAGTTGGCTGTAGTGATGCAGGCCTGGAATCTCAGTACCAGAGAGGCAGACAGGAGAATCACCAGTCTATCTGAATTAGTAAGGCCCATGCCCAGTGGGAGACCTGATCTCAAAAATAAGATACAGAGTCACAGGAAAAGTTACCAGTGTCAACCTCTGGCCTCTATTTATATCTCACATCAAGGTTTGGACATGATGGGCAGCATAGCCTTTTGAAAACATTCTTTTGGTTTTATGCATGTTGTTATTTAACATATATAGTATAGGATTTTAAAATTTATATTATTAACATTTTGTGATGTTTTCCAGGATCTCCTAAAATACCAGGTATATGAAGTCCAATTTTCGTATGAATCCTCTCCCAACCATAGAAATCCATAGGGAGAGGTCAAATCAAAGTCCCTATAATGCATGCGTACAGCATTGTTACAGGAATACATTCAGATTTCAATTTTCATCTACACCCAGAAAGGATCTCCTAGAACTAAAGCAGCAGGATTTGCTGAGGAGAACACAGGATGAGTTGGAGAACAGAGCCACACAGAACCTATGTAAGGAAAATGGAGGCACAAATCTTAGAACGACGAACTGCAATCTGAATATTCCCCTTGAAGAAGACTGTCCACACTGGAGAAGAAACAGGAAGTGGGTAATGAAAATGGCCAGAAGGCTAGTTACATAAGACCCCAGAATCCAAACAACTAGCATGATCAAGAAGACTGGCATTAGACTCCTTTTCAGCAATACTTAAAGGAAGAAAATAGACACCAGTCTGTTGGAGTTACAGGCCAACAGAAATGCAAGGTACTACTCAAATTGCTATTATCTACCAATGCTCTCCTTTAAGCATTGAGGCTGTAGAAGAACAATGTTTTTACTTGTCACTTCTCTTTTGCTATGATAAAACACCATGGCCAAGGCAGCTTATAGTAGGGATGGTTTACTCAGGCTCATGGTTCTAGAGGGATAATAATTCGTTGTGGTGTGGAAGAAACAGATAATGGCAGCTGAAGTAGCAAGCTTAAATATTAAACCCACAAACACAAAGCAGAGAGACGGAACTAGAAATGACCCGAGTCTTTAAACTCTAAAAGCTCACCCTCCATGAAATACTTAATCCAGCATGTCCGTAACATGTGGTCAGTACAGTGGAGCACACCTTTAATCTCAGCACTATGGAAGCAGATACAGTCTGTTCACAGCCAGCCAGATGACATACTGAGTTCAGGAGGCATTCAGAGCTACATAGCATGACCTTGTCCCCCCCAAAAGGCATTGGTAAAATACATCATGGCATACCTGAGATATATGACTATCAAAGTAGATGATAAATTCTGTAGAGGGCCAAAGATTAATATCAGCTATGGCTATCTGAAATAAAGTAGTAGTGCTTCCTATGTGAGAACCAACTCAGGCAAATGACTACAGCAGTAGCAGAATGTGAGGACTTTATGGACATGTGGCCTTGTACTTACGGTTTACAGATTTGACTGGTAATATTGGGTTTACCCTCTCTGGGGAGGCAGCATTTTCTTCATCTGTCACATACTCAAAATTAATGATGAACATCATAGCCACACCCTCTTGGTTCTTCACTGGGATTATGTGAGTATTACAAATAAAAGTGGAACCTAAGGAGAGGAAAGGATGAATGTTAGATCAAAAATCTATCTTTGGTGTGAACTACCATTAGTAATAAAATTGAAATATATTTCTATAAATGTTTGTCTTAAATGACTGCTCACATTCAATAAAATAATTTAACTTTTACATAATTTGTTGCACATCTGTTTACTTTATATACATACATAAAGAGTTTACAGTGTAATTCAGTTATCATATTGGGGAAATATATAATATCAAATTCTATATCAACTTTAATAGTATAGGAAAATATTTTTAACTTCTAGAAACAATATCATCTATGTGTTATCTATTTGTATTAAATCTATGTCTGTGAAAAATATACTGTTGGGTCCCAGGCCCCACCGGGTCTCTGTAAGTCGCTGGTCAGCCAACAAGTCCATCCTCTTTTCCAGTCCAAGTGCATTCTGTTTTCTAGTCCTGGCTGACTGCCCCAGACTTGCCCCACTGACATCAACATCCAGCAGGAGGAAAACACGATCTCTTTCACCAGGGATTTTTCCACTGTGCTGTAAGCCTGTATATATAAGACTGCTCCCTCTCTACAATAAAGTAGACACCTCTTAGCACAAATGACTGGGCATCTTGTCTTTCATTTCAATCTCCAGGCTTTCAGCCGATATATTAAACTTGCTCGTGGTGCAGGCACCACAATATACTTGTATAAAGAGTGAAGAGATACTCATTTTACATCACTGTGATTTTGGAATTAAAATTATATACTTTTTCTTAATTTCTTGGACACAGTAAATTGCTGTCTATTTTACTTGTGCTGCAATAAATGAGAAAAATACACAGCATTCAAATGACAATGGTTTTACTTGTCAGGAAATGGGAAAATGTCTATATTATTGTATTAATTTTTTCCACATTATCATTAGCTACCACTGTTGATCCACCAATATAATCTTTGTCGTTCATGATCTATGAAATACTGATGAGAAGCTGGATTTCTCTAAATGACTTGCCTTCTGTCTGATCCTTTGGAACTGACAATAAGTAATCCTCTAACAGCTCTTTTCCATTCTTATCTTCTGAATAGTTGCTCTATTGTGAAAGTGAGAGTAATCTCATCATTAGCTATGGGTTTGTTTCGGCCAACTGTAAATGTAAAAACTTCAGAAAGTGATCCTGATCTCTCAGATGATATTGTGTATTGTGATTGTTCCAATTTTTAAAGATTAGTTGAGATTATCTTGAGGAGAACTGTGTTTCAGTAGCAAAGTCAGAGGGGTGTATGAAGGTTGACAAGAGATTTAGGGGAATTGTGAGAAGATGATGGACATTTGGAAATGAGGGGGAAATGTGTGGACAGATAGCAGCAGGTTTGAACCAAGAGCCCCAGCATCTTCAAGTACCACAGGATGCTGACATTCTAAAGCAGCCTTGCAAATTCTATTGCAAGCAAAACAAGGAGTGAAGAAAGCCACTGTCTTCCTGCAGAGTCCTGTATCATGGCTCATGCTACCAGAGCTGAGAACCTAAGTTGTTTCTGATACTACTATAGATGGAGGCTGAAGGGCTTTGGGAGATGAGGCTGGACAGCTATTTGCCAGGTATTAAATTGCTTCAACAGTTTCTAATTTCTACAGAGCTGAGTTACAAATATCCCTTTAGAGTACATACTCCTTGTACCTTAGAGATACCGAAGTATTAGTTATAATTTATTTTCTAAATACTGATAGCCTTCCAAATTTGAAATGGAAAAGACCCTAATGTAACATCAACTAATATGATAGTAGTCCACACTTTACAGATGCTAAAAAATATGCTTTAAGAATGATTTTTTTCACCTCCAGTCTTCAGCTGTATCTTCAATTCATCTAATAAAATAGTTAGCTAGAGCTCTTGTCGAAGTTTCCATGGTAACAAACAGGCCAACTTTAGTAAACACAGAATAAGCAATTTAAGAGTGCTCCATTAGAACTAAATATAGCAGTGCCATGGGCCAGGCATTACAATGCATGCTGGTTAAACAGACTCTGAAGAGATGTGAGAAATAGCCATTATGTACTTTCCTAATGAATCAAAATACATATTGATTTTGCCACTTAAAATGACATTTCCTACACCATTTAGAATATAATTGTGAATTCACAGATTTGTTATTCAGCTGTTTCATATCTTTCAACTTTTGAGGTATACTGCTGATTGTGAAGCAGAAATATAAAATAGATCTTTGAGAAATCAATAAATAAAAGATGCAATGATGGAGATCTAATAGGCTTGCAATAGAACAGAGTTGTTTTGCATTGGCTAATAAAAGGAAAATCATGCCCTTCCATAAAAATGCTTGAAATTTACTGTTGGGTACTGAAAAGCACATAATTATTGTGCCCCAGGAAAAAAGTTCAATGCATGTATATCAGATCCACACCTCATTACATACATGCAATTAATATGAGATTTATTGCTTACTATGACTGCTTCCTACATGCTTCCCTTAAGTAATATATTGTTTTTGCAGTCAACTGAAGACTCACACTTCCACGCTTTCCAGTTTTAGGTTGGGGGATTGACATAGCCATAAATCTTGTGTAACCTCTGGAAGGCACCCAGTGAAAGGGGAGACACAGAATACAGAGGAAGAGCATATATGGAATGTATTTTAGCTTGCATAATTCTACAACTTCCAAACACTGTTGATTTACTGCTTCTGTAAAGCAACACTTCTATCTGAGATATCATTCTGTGATTGTTAATATGTTTTCCTGGATGAAATGATAGAGGCAAAAGGATCAGAAACATAATCTATGAAGCACTATTTTAACAATGAAGAAGAAAAGACTCAATGATATTTAAATATCATTAATTCAAGAAAAAGTTAAAACCTTGTTAAAGTGCATCATGTATTCAAATAAAATTAATAGTGTTTGTTAAGAGGCAGAATATTTACAATAACATCAATTATTTATACAGTTATGCATGCAATTATGCTGCACTAATACTAGCTAGACTTGGGTTCATTTCCATATTTTGTTTCCTGAATGAAAACCTTTCCAAAGTAGAAAAGGTTATTTAGGAGAAACAGCACTCTTTTTAAATAACTTTCTCAGAATTTCAAAATTTAAACTCTTGCTATTAGTCAAGAAAAGCATGGTAATTTGAATAATATAACAATTACCTCTTTATTCATAATTCAGTGGTTTATACTTAGCTGTATTATGAAATGAAAGGCTATGATTTTTCTGCATGAGCTTCCTTGAATGTATTTTATGTCTCGAACATGTACTCACAGGGCATCCTGTGTACCCAAGGAATAACAGGGAAGTCAGACTAACTCTACCAGTGTGGTGACTACAGAGTGTGAGATATGGGGGTTAGGTCAAGGGAAACGCAAAATGGCCCACCAACTGAGAACTTCTCAGTTAAAAAGTGCTGGGGAATTCCATGCAAAGATTGCTGTCATTTGATTTAAAACTATCACTCTCATATGTATGCAAACAATAGCTTGTTGAGAAGGCCAGGAAGGAAGTAAAGAAGTAGGAAAATACTGTAAAAAAACTAGCAAGTGTGTCGAATAGTTTATACTAGGGTGGTGTGGGTGAGAGTGCTCAGGTAGAGTTTGCAATGTGTTGGACCAGAAGAATGACATACTATTTCTTAAACTGAGACAGAGCAAGGGAGGAAGTGGTCTTGAAGATTGTGTATAATCATGGATTTTTTTTTGAATATGGTAACTCTGAAATTTCTTGCTGGTGTCTAAGTGGATATTTCGAGACGATAAACACTAGGAGTTGCAGTTCAGTTTAGGTGTTGGTCCAAGTCAGAGTTATTTAGAAATCACTGGGGTAGTCAACTATAGAAAAAGTTTGTAATCTTATTCCAGAGGCACTCCTGAGTCAAAAGGAAGATGACCAAGACCCTGTAAAGTTCATGGAGAAACACACAGTGAAGTGGGAGGGAAATCAAGATTGTGAGTCATCAGGGCTTCCGAGCCAGAAGTGTTGCTAAAAGAAGACTCCAAGATCTCTTGCTAATAGGCATCATGAGATGCCAGCAAACATGCAGGCCCTTGAGAAATATTTCATAGAACTGCTGCCATGAAACTGCTTGAATGTGTTCAAGAGTGAAAGGAGGTACAGGAAATATACTCAACAATAGGAGATTTCCTCAAACTGTTCTGCTAATGGATGAACTACTCACATACTCATAGTTCTAGCACAGGTCAATAGCTAGAAAGACATCAATAATATATATATATATATATATTGTATATATATTGCTAGAAACATTGTGGTATATTTCAACACTTCTGCAAGGCACATTGAACTGTTTTCAAATAACTGCATCCAATTTTGTTTACATTAAGTCATTTTACTACCTAAGATCAAGAAAGGTCTAATTCTATTTCAAGACATGTTTTAAGCTTTGCTTTGTTTAGCGTTTACCTATTTCCTCTGCACACAGTACCTATATCTACAAAGCACGATTGCCCCAATTGTTGAAGACTGCTAGCTCTGCAGCTGGAATATGTGTCTCTGAGTCCCTGTTCTGCTCTTTATTTTCAGAGTAACCCTCTAACTGTACTAAATGGCTCAGCTCAGATCCAACTTTCCTTATCTGTATCCTGAAAATGAATTTTATTTCTTTTCTAAACTTGCTCTTGTAATCAAATGAAGCAAAGTGTTAGGATAGGATTCTTTACACCATGTTAATATGGTGATATAATAGATCGTCAATTCTCATTTGATTTCTATTGCTGTGATTAACAGCATGGCCAAAGACAACTTGGGAAGGAAGGATTTTATTTAGCCCACACTTGCATGTCACAGTCCATCATAGAAGGAAGTCAGGGAATAATTCAACTAGGAACACAGAGCAGAAGAAGCAGGAACCAAATAAAGCAAAGCCCCTAGAGGAATGCTGTTTACTGGCTTGCTTCCCGACTCATTTTCAGCTACCTCCTTACACAGCACAGCACATGCTGTCCAGTGATCACACCTTGCCTAGAGAGGCCCGTGTCCTTCTCCCTTAATTAGCAACA